GGGTTTTGATTTCTGAGAAAATTGCAAGTAAAGTTGAGCGCCCGATCAGCTGGGAAATAAGTACTGGAACCATGTCGATAATCAGGAAAATGGCGTAGCTGAGCAGCTTGAGGTGTGCTATACTTTATTTCGTCTGTCCGACACGAGTTTGAATCCCCGCAATGTTAAATTTTTTTAAAATAAATTTTATATTTTTTAATACAATTAATTTTTTTTAATTATTTTTTTAAGCTAAAATATTAGTCGTTGCACAATTTTCTATAGTTATGAATAATGATAAATAACAAGAGTTTAAAAATTTTTAATTTTTAATTTTTAATTTTAAAATTTTAATTTTTTGCTTGGTTTTGCGTCAAAGTTGACATCTGAACACGAAATTTTCTATAATGTAAATCAATTATATTTTCCTTCATATACTCACAGCATGAAATGTATTTGTAAAAATAATAATTCATTTATAAAATGTTCATGGTGTACGTTCTACTTGTGTTTTAAATGGTTCTTTGGTTTTCATTCACAAAATTGTACAGCAATGTCAACTTTTTACAAAAAATAATTGTACGGCAATGTCACACATATACATAGTTTTATAATGAATAATTCAAATTTTTTAAACTCTTGTTATTTATTATTATTCCTAACAAAATTGTGCAACGATTAATATTTTAGCTTAAAAAATAAATTAAGAAAAATTAATTATATTAAAAAATAACGTTTACTTAAAAAAAAAAATTTAACACTGCGGGAACGGATTCGAACTCGGTCGGACGGACGAAAAAAAAGTCCGCGCACTTCAGGCTGCTCAGCTGCACCACTTTTCTGCTTACTGCTGCGCGATTCCAGTACTTATTTCCCAGATCGGGCGCCCAATTTTACTTGCAAGTTTTTCAAAAACCAAAGTTCATTTACATAAACTATTTTATCGTGTTACTACACCCAATCCCCTTCTTCAAATAAGCTCATCCCATTTTACAATCGGGATCATCTTCTTGTAAGTGACAGTTTGGGGCGAAAGACATATGGATAGCATGTTTTTCATACAGCGACGCTCTTGAGGCACGGCCGCTGAGCCTCGAGCGGTGATGGGAGAACTGTAGGCGTCGCTTTCGAAATCAGGCCGAAATGTCCAATTAATTCTGAGCTGATAAAGATTAAAGAAATCTTTACGAATGCAAAAATTTTTGAAACAATCAATTCGAATTAATAGCAAGAAGTTTAAGGAAATTTGCTTATTTTAATTTTGCTGTTACTATGTGGATAGAATGATGACACAGTTGCAATGAATAAGAATAAATGATCAAATATTTATATCGAGCTAATGGAGGTTACTGGATTTCACGATGTATCACAGAAATTGAGGTTGCTGCATTTCACGATATATTACAGAAATTGAAACACGAACAATTGAGAAAGAAATTTAGTTTTTATGCTGGAACAAAAGGAATGAAAAATGGAGAAATAGCTGGCTATGGAGTAACTTCAAAGTTCTTATTCTGCAATATGTCTATTGAGAATGAAAAAAATTTATTATAGTGAAAATGATTGTACATTTATATGTTTGATTTCATAGGTGAAATAAAAATCTAACTGTTAAAAATAAAAAGAAAAATGTAAAAGAGTATACAAATAAATGTGACTTTCATATGTTGTATCTTTATAGCTATCTAATATCTATATAGAATTTTTAATAATTTTTGTTAATATTTTTGTAAATATTTTTATTATTTATCACAAATATTAGCAAAATTTTTTATTTATCTCTATTTTTTCATAAATTAAAAATTTAATTATAAAGCAAAATATATTAATTGCTTTATCTTAATTCAAGGATTTACTAATTTTACATATCATGACTAGTTTTGTAACTTATGATTGTAAACTGTAAATTTATAACTTATAACTGTAAATTTCACAATTTTAGATGTCCTGACAGTGGGCCCCGGGCCACCAGGATGCCGACAGACGACGACTATGGCCGAAGAGATCGTGTCCTATTACACCAGCACCCGATCGCACAATACGGATCCTCGTCATCCCCGCTTCCTGGTTCGAGCACTCCGAGTTCCGGTGGCGTGGGAATCCAGATTGGTTCCAATAACCTCAGTGACTGCTTTAAACAGCAAACGCAGCAGCAGCAACAATCTGATTTGCGTCCGATTACGAGTCTCACGAACCAATCAGACCAAGAGCGTCACCAGTTGGACCAACAGCAAAGCAGTGAGCATGTCGGGGCCCGAATGGCTGATCGGCACGAGAAATCGGTGGAGAAACCTACGATCGACTTTTCTAAGTGCGCAGAGAGTCGTTCGAATTGCGAGCGCTTTGGACTTTATCAGGTTCAAAGCGGCGAACATGTGGGAAGTCGGATGGGAGGTGAGCGGCATGAGAAGGCCGTGGATAAGTCTTGTAGCGATTATTCGAAGTGTGGTCAACCGAATTGCGAGCGTTTCGGACATTATCAGACTCAAAGCGGTGAGCATATGGGAAATCGAATGGGAGGTGAACGACATGAGAAATCAACCGACAAATCGTCGGTCGATTTCACCAAGTGCACTGCTGACGGTCGACAGCCAAGTTGCGAGCGTTTTGGATATTATCAGACTTCGACATTCTGTCAGTCTCCGTTACAAGAGCACTATGGCGGCGGGCATACCAGCGCCGATCGTTTTGAGCAATTCAATGACCTCAACACGTTACACAGCGAACAGCGGGCCCCGAATGATCATTACTCAATCTGTAATCCGGAGCTGCGTTTCGACACAGCGGGCACGAGCGGGTCTGGTGAGTACGCGAATACGAATGCACTCGTGGGCTCCTTTGCTTCGGAGACATTCCCGTCGCCGCCATCACCGGCACCGACAAATGACCGTTTTGTTCCGCCACCACCATTGTCACCCAGTCCGAGTGAAAAGTACGCTTCGAGCCAGAGTTTGGCTGGTTATCCTTCCGTTAATCATATTTTACCCCCCAATTCTCCGGGGCCCAAGTACAGCGCAACATCGTCGATGCCTACCAAGGAACGTTTCGCCTCCGCCGAACGGCTGCTGGCTAATCAGTCAGTCACAAACGATGCTAAGGATCAACAACGCTATACTGGATCATCTGACCGATTGCTTTCGGGATCTTCCCCGGTTCTTGGAGGACTTCAAACGGGACTCCAAGGCAGTGCAGTCTACACCAAAGACACTCGCTATACCGCCATTTCCGCAGACAAGATATTATCTTCCTCACCAATACATGCTCCAGTGCCCGAAAGATTTATTGGCAAATCGGAAAGGTATTTGGGCGAATCGCCCATTCACGATAGATATCCTCGACAGGATCCACCGACAACACATCATGAGCGTTATTCGGCGATGGCGGCGGTCACTGAGAGGTGAGTTCAAGTTAGATAGATTACGTAGATTGAGGAACATCTTTGCAGATTTGTTATTCTTTTGTTATAAACGAACATATGTATCTCATACCATATATATGTCATAATCATCATTATCATCAATAGATTACACTAGTTTACAACGAAAAATTATTTTGATTAGACAAGATTCCTTATAGACTTTATTCCTTATAGACTTTTGCATGTTGAAAACGATACCGCAGGTCAAATTTTTCCAATATGTCAGGTTTCCAAAATAATTGAGTTTAATATACAAAAAATTGATTTTAAAAATTGTTTATAAAGAATGTTAACAATATTTTGAAATTTTGATCAGGAATCATAATTGTACTGTTTGTCTTCTATAAATTGTATTTGTTTTCAGCATCCAAAAATCTAAAAGAAAAGAAGTTTAGTTCAAAATAATTAAAAAATATTTTTTTGTAAATTAATGTTACATAGGCATTTATAAATTATAATAATATTTAATTTAATTTATTAAATAATAACATCACTGTGTATTCTTTAATTCCATATTTCTAATTTAAGAATGTTTTGTTCTCAACGTTCATCATTGCGAGCCTCATGTTATCCGTACTCATATAATATCGATTGTTACTTTTAGAACTGCTTCCTGTAAAAATTTTTAGGAAAATTTCAAAATCATTTCAACCTTTTACATTTTACGTACAATTATGTACTATTCTGAAAGGATTCTGTAATATGTCATACGAAATTGCAACAGAAATGTTTTTGAAACATATGCAATAAATTTGAGAACATGCAGAACTATCATTGGTCTATTTTTCACAAGTAAAATTTGTCTCTTTATATAATAAAAACTACTGTAACTGAAATATAAATTTATGATTTATTTATATATCTTTTATATGCATTTGATGAGGCTTAATTTATAATGGAGATCCATAAGCGTAAAAAATTGATCAATCACATTTGAATGTGAGGAAAAATTGTGATTGATCAATTTCTTACGTTTACACTTACGTATCTTATACGTAATATTATGTGTTTACAATAAAAAAGTTGCAACATAGAAATTTTTCAATGATATCTCAAAAATGTTTTCTGAAATTCTGGAATTTAGAATTAAAATATATAATATAAACATTGCAAAATATTTTGGTAACAACTCTGCTCTAGCAAAATGTCTGTTATTCTCACGCTTGAAACCTTATAGAAAAAATAATATCGACAATTTTTCTAAAATATTGTTGAAAGATTATTGAAATAAACCGCTGAAATCTTTTTAGTGTTTCAATAATCTTTTAATACTATATCAGGAAAATTGCAGATTTTTTTGTTACTTTTCTGTAAAATTTCAAGTGTAAGAATTATGGACATTTTGTTATTACAAAGTTGTTTTAGAGCTATTGCAAAAATATTTCTGCAATGCTTCTGAGAAGTTTCAATTCTATAGAGTAAAATTATAATAAACAGCTCGTATAGATTCATAAGAGGAAAAAAAGGCCACTAAACGAGCGAAAAACGAAGTGACATGAACAAATTCAAATAAACAATATTTATTGGAAAAATCAACAATTAGCGGATCACCTTCAATATAATTTTTAATTTTGTTTTGACTTCACGGAGTTTTTTTTTCAGCAATTAATCTTAACTAAAGCGATAAAAAAACGAGGGAAAATTGTGAATTTACAAAAAATTTCTCCTCTGTAAAAATTAAAAAACGCATCACATCTAGATTCAAACGCAAACAGATCGGTTATGAAATTGTGAATAATATAATGAATGTCAGAGTAAACTTAAGAGTTGACAGTCAGATGCATAACTGCCACATCCAAAATCAACAAATGTCATTATATAAAATTATTATGGAGTCAATAAAGAGAGAAATGTAACGCTAACTGGAATTGTTTTGTAACATAATATTAATATTAGCATTTTTTTCTCACACTGATGCAGCTCAGTCTCACAATCTTACAGGAATCTCAAGTGACAAATATAACGGGAGACTTCATCGTTGATAAGCATGAAAAATTCCGAGTCAGTAATTTAAAAATAGATCGTAAAAATTTTAAAGTATATGAAGAGTTATTGTCACCATGTGTATGAAGTGTAAATATGTCAGTGTAAGAATAAGACATAAGAAAAACAGATGGTCAGAGTGTCAAGTATGATGAAAAACATTGTTGTGTGAGTGATACTTTCTTTTTCCGTAATTTTATTTCTTGATTAAAATTGTGATCAGCTGTCGAACATTGGTAGTCAACAACAATCTACTTCAATTCTATTGACGAAGGATTTCATATTATATGGATAATATATGTTTAATTTTGAACTATTCCGTTTTGAATTATTCAAAAAGTTAATTATATTTCAGCAATATTGATATCCGTATAAATTTAAAAATGGTCCAATATTGTAAGAATATTTTTTTAGCTAATATTGAACGAATACAAGTGAAGTATAAGATTGTACCAAGTGAAGTATAAGATTGTATTTTATTTTGTATCAATAGAAATTAATATAATTATTATGCACTTTAAAATGGAATGATAAATTATACTTTTAAGCAATGATAAGATTGTCTATCGATATTTAATCGCCATTATTAATTTAATTTGAGTTAATTTAACAATATCGACAATTTCTATGTGGAAGTACTTTATCCTGTAATCATTGCATTTATAATTTTATTCAATTTGTATTTTCTAAATTATAAATATAATACGTTTTTATATTCCTAAAATATTCGTATCCACTTAATCCCTTTTATTTGGGATGTCCGCAGGTTCCTCTCAAATTCGCCTAATTCTGAAAGCGCGCATCAGCGCTATTCATCGTCAGATCGTTCATCACTTCAAACTTCTTCCGGTAATATCGAGTCAAATCGACGTCTCTGCACCGATAGGGGAGTCGAGACGGTTTGTCAGAAGTATACTGATCGATCTATTGGTTCTCCTGCCTCCGCCGACTTCAGTCGATATTCTGGTTTTCCGGAAGTCGGCAATCAGATGCGATATATGTCCAGCAATGACCGTTTTAATGACCTCGCTCTACAACGTTGTAGCCAATCACGGTCGATTGATAGGTTTTCCAGTGATCGATATTTGGCTGGATCATCACCTGCGCATGACAGCAGGCTACCCTGTACTGAGACATCGCGTTATATCGTCTCTTCTACCGAACGTTTGCTGGTGCCGACACCGTCCTCATCATCCTCCTCGTCAGAAACTGGTAAGAACGCATTTTATTTTTCCTAAACAAAGTCTAAAAATGTACTTTAATTTTTCCGACATTGAATTTTTTCATGAACATTTGGAACTTGTTTATAAATCATTGATATTTATTTAAATATTCAAATACTTTAATTACGTTTTCAAACTCCATATTTTTAAACTTTTTAAATGTATTGAACGTTATTTTAGTTACAAAATATTTGTCTCAAATCCTTTGCTGAACAAATCCTTGCCGAACAATGTCTTAAAGATGTATTTTTTCAAAAATAATAAATAAATAAATAAAAGAAATTAAAAATATTCCATGTTTGATTTATACACTTGAGTTTAAAATTCCATGAATTTAGCTTGATGATTTCTTTCAGATTTCGATAAATATTTGGTCTCTTTGTTCTATGATTCTATTTGATTATCAATTTGTTTGATTATCAATTTTTTGATTATTTTTTTGATTATTTGACAATTTTTTTTTCAAAAATTTAGGTTCCAGATATCATTCACCCTACACAACGACCACCGGCACTCAATCATCGGCTTCTAATGAGCGCTTCTCATCAGTCTCGCCGACATCCGAAATATCGTCGAACATCAATCGTGGCGTCAGTAGCAGCAGCAGCTATCAGAATACAAAGAGCACTGTCGATAAATATTTGGTCTCAAAGTCAGTTCAGAGTAGCTACGATCGCTACTCAGTTGGCAATCAGAACGATCATCAGTTCAATCAAGATCGATATTTCTCTACAGGCGGTAATGGTGATCGATTTCAGACTACTTCAGGAGCTGATCGCTTTCACACTTCTGCTGATCGTTACTCGCCAGCACGCAGTGACAAGTATTTGTCTTTGCCAAAATCTAAAGATAGGTTCGCTGGTCGAATAACACCGATCTCCTGTACCACTGCCGTGACATCGTCCACTGATCGTACTTACGGTTCGTCTAGTGTGAGTTACGTGCCTCCAACTGCGCACACACCAGTTGAACGATATGTGCCACAGCCGCCTCCCGAAGTGTTATATCCAGATAGGTAAGAGCCGACATGATAAGAGACATTCTGAAATCTTGATAATTAATTTCAGATCTTTTATGTCTCTTTTTCTTAAATGAATTTTATTAACAAAATGAGTTTATACATAAAGATGCTATGAAATTGCGGTAAACAAGTATTAGATAATTAAATATAATTGAAATCAATTTAAAAAATTTTCAATAAGATGTTTTTTTATAATAAATCTTTAACAATTTTTTTAATTTTCTTTATTATACAATTCCTTTATTGTATAATTCAGTTTAATAATAATTGTGTTTAATTTTCCAAAAATTTGGAAATAAAAGAATAAAGAATAAAAAATTAATAATTTGAAAAATTGCAATAAATGATATTATCATTAATTCGAAAAAGTGCGCAATTTATATTAGTTTAAAATAAAACGATAAAAACAATTTATTTTCTATTAAAAGCTTTTTGCATCTTACTTGAAACTTTGATCTATTTTCATTGTTAAAAGTCTGGTTTCTGCGATTGTTCAGGTACGTGGATAGGTATGTGCCACCCACTGCGCACACACCGACCGATCGATATGTGCCCGCAAATGATCCAGGTGATCCATATATGCGTCGTGATCTTGGTTTTCATCATCATTATCGGCTACCGCCACCCGCCGGTTACCCGTATCAAACACATTTCCGATTCCGCGGATTTGCATACGCGACATCCGGTCGATTAAGTGGAAGTCCTGGGTCCAGCAGTTCCAGTAGTACAGCATCCAATCAGCGCGAAATGTTCGCTACATCACCATTATTGAGACCTAAAGTACGTCCCTCTACGGTCGAATTCGGTACCGCTGTAGGCGTCGCCGGCACTATTGTTGGTGATGCAATAACTACTACAACAACTACTGGTGTTGGTGTCGGCGTTGGAGTTGGCATCAGTCGTCATGTATGTGCCAATCCAACTGTCTGTTGCGGAGATACGACTGCCAACGGTAGAACCTGTTGTCAGATGAGGAGATCCCTGCCACCTGGGACACTACCGGCGATACCCATCACGCAAACATCTTCATGGTGAGTATCGCTGTGAATTCAAAAAACCATAAACTCAAATATGAGAGATGTGAATATTTGAAATTTTTGCACTCATATTTCAAAATGCAGGAGATTTAGAATTACAATAAAAAGCATTGACAATGCGACTCTGCGTTCGAATTAAAATGAGAAAATAATAAAATAATTTTTGATGAATTGTTTTTGGTGAATTGTTTTTTTATAAAATGTTTAATTATATAAAATAAAACATATTGTTTTGCTTTCTAATTACGTAAAGCTATAAAAAAATGTTGCTATAAATGTTTTATAACTTTACGTAATTAGAAGGCAAAATATTTATTTTGTGTCAATCCGAAAAGTTCGGAATTTTGACTCTAGTTGTGTTCAAAAAGGCGTTTTAATCTTTAAAATGTAAAATCTCTCTAATTTTCTTTTTTATCTTTTTCACGAAATATATGAAATTTTGAAATAAAAATAATTTTTTTCCTTTAATTAACAAATTTCGATGTAAATTGCGCACATCGAAAAAAACTATTGATTACGGTGAGCTTAAGAACAGACATAAGTTGTAGCTTTTATATGTTGAGAATTTGCGCATCTAACTCGGGGATTATAAAGAAAGTAGAACACGGGAGAAGGAGGGAAGAAACAGTAGAAAATGGGATAACTTCTGCAATGTACGTGTTCAAGTAATAATGCGCCTGTATAATAAAGCTCATGAATTAGAATGGAAGAGCTTCTTAATTGAGAGATAAATGTTATTTATGTGTTATGTATGAGTTGGTGAGGAGATTTTGGCTTTACATAGCACTTTCTTTTCTTCGTCGTTTCTCCGAAAACATTTCTAATCTTTCCATCAAATATTTCCATCCTCTTTTCTTCTTCTCTCCTGTTCCTCTACATCTGAAAGAATATGTGTCCTTCAAAGAAGAATATTTGAATGATCGTTGAAATAATCTTTTGATATGGAAGATAAAACAAATCAGTGATATTCCATTAACCTAATTACTGTTATGAAAGTATGCGTGGCCTTTTCGAGGCTTTTGTCTTTTGCGCCGCCAAATGCAGACTCGCATTTTAAATTCTGACTTGCATTAATAATCCATTTCTTTATGGAGACTACAACACGAGATCGAGATTACAACACAAATTTAATATTCGATAAAGAATCACCGACTATCATCAGACGTAGAAACAAATTATAAAGCAGAACATTTTTGAAGATTCAATAATATTTAGTTTTTTTAAATATTTATAAATATGAAAAATATTAAAAAATTCTTTGTTGCGGAGTAAAATATTCTCAATATTTTATACATATCTATATTGCATATCATTTAAATTTTAAGTTCATTGATTATGCATGAAATGAGCAGATTTTATAATATAATTTCTTCTAAGAAATAACTTCTAAGAAATAAAAAGAAATAATAATAAGTATATAAAATTAATAATCCATAAATTTTCGAATAGTTAATAGTTAATGTACGTACTCATCATAATAATGTAAATTCAAATTTATAAAATTTTCATGGAATTACTAGTCATCCGCGGACAATCTAAATGTCTAGCTGGTCTCTTCATCTTGCGGAATTAGAAAAGGACAACTCAGAATTAAAAGCTATTTATAAACTTTCGAATCCTATAAATTAAATATTTTGAACTTATCTCATCGTGGATAAAAATTTAATTTTTTAAATAGGGGGCCGTTTTTAAATATCACCGTTTGCTCAGCCCCTCTTCTCCTTTTTACTAAAATAAGAATATCGAAAAAAAAAATCCTATATTATTTTGCGATAATTAAAAAGTTATTAATTTATACATATCCTCGAAGGAACGAATTTTCATTCACAAAAGAACAATCTAGCATTGTGCATGCTCGTAGTGATAAATGCGTGGCAATATAGAGACGTGCAAAAGTAAGAAGGGAGGGCGTGCGTCCCGGTCTCGAACTAGTTGTGAAAATTCTTATTATTTTGCGAAAAATATCACCTCAGAAATCGAATCTGACTCCTTGCTTACTGGACAGGTATCTTATCTTTTCAATTACTGAGGCTTGTAGTAATATTTATCGCAATATTCAGACGAGTTTAAAACAATACATGAAACAGATATTTTGCAGGATTAATACATTTACGAGTATTATTCGTCATGATATATTGTTAAATATTAATGTTTTATGAACATTGTTCACTTTATCAGGGCGAGCAGCAGCCTAATAATGCGCTACTTTTCTGCTGAAGTCCCTTATACACTATGCAAGAGAGAAAGAGAGAGAGGGGAGGAGGAAACAGAGGAAAAAGACAGAGGGAGAGGATTTGTTTAAATTATAATGAAGAAAGAGTTGTTTTTAGTCAATCAGGAAGACGATCTTCTATATGTCACTTATATTTATAGCTATTATTTCTATTTAGGTTATTGTGATGTTTGAATCTCTATAATCTCTCTATTCTCTTGCTTAGAAAATATGAAGTAATCGTAGTTATTATTGTTTTTAATTGTTAATTAATATTATTTTATCAAATATTTGATATCCTGTTTCAACATTGTGTTTTGATTTGTTCTCTATTTTCTCATTATATGATCATTCTGCAATGTTAATAAATGAAAAAGCAGAACGAATATAGAAATAATAAGAATTCTACTTATATTATATTTATGATTATATAACTCATATATGAATTATTATATATCTATGTCTCTGTTCCTGTCATGTTAATTTCATTGGGAGTATCTAACAACATGGCTTGCGCGAGTCTATACGAATTCATATTTCATTGCTGAGTGTCCATATTGATTATATTGTGATTTGGGTATTATTTCTGATATGATAATATCGTATAAACTGAGTACCCCGAGTTATACTGCGTATATACGTTACAGACACATATTTATGTATAAGATGATCGGAACAAATATGACAAAGAATTTGCTTCCGTATACCCTACTTATTTTTTTGATACTCTTCTTATATTTATTTGTTTGTACGAAACAAAATTCTTTTTTACTAATTTAATTATCTATAACTTTAACAATTACAAACGTGAAGACTTTCCATTGATTCATTTCATCAATTTATCCAGATTATCAACCAACTTTTACTAAATCCACAAGGATATGCAATACAAGTTCAATCGCATTCGCGTTATGTATGCCCGTAGCCATGTTTTAAAAAATTGACAATTGATTTTAAATTAAATTTTTGAATTTCTTGGCTGTGGATTTTCACATCAAGCTAAATTTTGGATATGAATTGTTCTACACAATCCATATAAAACTCGCCGAATCTGCGCAATTATGACTAAAGGCGATATTCATAGTCAGTTCTTTTATTTAATTCTTATGATTCTTATCTCATGATTATAATCAATAAGGTAACCGTATAAACTTACTTAAAACTTACTTAAACTTACTAAAACGATCCTAAATATAAGAACGAATTAGGAATACCATCCTAAATTATAGCAACTTTCAAGAATTAACTTTTAAGAATTATCAATCAAAATCTATATAACTTAACGTAAAGTGAAGTATGAATACCACTCCACAAAGATTTGTATAACACGATGATCGGATAAATTTAACTTGGAACACATATCTGCAAGAAACTATAGTATGTTAGTGATCTAAATATTTCTATAGAAATCTGTTAGCAAATGCGATTATCCGCGATATATCGGACGCACTGTATCATCAATGACATATCAGCCAATGACGTATAGACCTAGCGTTTGTATAATTTCATATAATTCGTATAATTGTGAATGAAATTGACAATTGTCAGAGAAAAACTGTGTGACAAAGAACAATACAGTTTTTCTCTCTTTTCAATTAACGTATAACAATATGACGAATAGACATATTCTAATCAGACGTTCTAAGGACGTCCTTAGATGATCGCAATGTCTATATTACGATTATTTCAATACATTCTCAAACAATACATCATCAATACATTCTCAGGGATATTGCCCCTGATAGCCAAACCTGAAGAAACAAATTATGCGCAGAGCCTATTATAAATTTACGATAGAAATATTATGCTAGAAAAGCAACAAATTGCAAATAGATCCTGTAATATCTGACTGTTAACAAATTGATACTAGTGTAAAATATGCGACATAGACACTCGGACCGGCTGCGCGGCGACGCAAACTCCCGGCTGCCCTTATCGTAACGTTGCGCGCGCAAGGCGCAGTTAATTTAATACATAGGGCGACGCTAAGGAACCGGAAACAAACCCAGTTCCTACCGATTCCGGAGTAAGAATATTCGCGATCATGTGCTCTGTTAATCAAAATACTCTCCTTCGAGACGGAACACGCGATGTTCGAAAGAACGTGCTTCGGGAGTCGCTCCGTTCAGTATTACTTTAGTAAATTGATGAGTCAAGACTTGTAACTGTGATGATCAAATAAAATGTCTGATCATGATTAATCACACATGAATAAGAATTGTTTGTTGCAATTTTTCTCCACATCCAGAACTTTCACGTTAACCCAATCGAAATCATGTCCTGTGTATACCTGTGGTCAGTAATGACTGAATGTGTAGAGATATTCCACCTTATGTGACTTCGATGTTCATTTCGTTTTCAATTGTCTACTGGTCTGACCCACGTAAGATGCAT